TGTCAATGAAGGTTGTCCCTAGGCATTGTACATTCCTGGCAATGTAGCAAAGTATTAACAGAGGACAATTAGTTTAGCTGTGCTCTTCAGGGACTTATAGCAAAGGACACAGTGAGGCTACATCCAGAAACAAGGGTCTTCTTTTGTGAGTGTTTATAATCCTTACACTGGACAGACAAAAAAAAAAATTACTCTGGTCTTTCAGTTAGTGGATTCACGGCTTGCTGTATCCATTCTGTCCTTTTTGTATTTGCAGACATCTTTTGTACCCCACTGAGTTGCCTGGCTGCTGCTGAGGTTTATTTTAATTTTCAGAAGTCAGTAGTAACCATAACATATCTTTACATATCTTTACAACATCTAACTAGACATCTCTATCCTTGCTTTACAGGAAGGAACATGGGCAAAGCTGAATGGATTAGTGATGATTAAGTACTACTGGTTGTTCAACTCTGTACGTGCCAAACGGAAATAATGATACTTTCTTTTCTCTACTTGTCTGCTATATTTAAACTTCATGCTTTCCAGGGCAGCATTTGTCTCATTAACTGTTTGCACAATGCTTAGTGCCATGGCGTATTACTTTTAGATAGAGCCCCTAGGCACTTCCAAACAGCTGCTAAGTTTACCTAAGGATACAACAGTATGTCAATAACAGACAGAACCTGATTTATTCTACTTGCTGTCTGTGCAAGCCAGTTTCCAAAAGGAAGAAGCACAGCTGTACTAAGCCATTAGTATTGCACAGAGTGAATTTCATCAAATACAGCAACTTGCTAGCGTTTGCATGTCTTCCAGGCTGATTTACAGTTTGGTTCATGGACAGCGGGGGGGAGTGTGTGTGTATGTATGGCTTTATCTGCACAAGCCCACACAGTTGTGCCAAAAGATCAGCTGAAGATAAATTTGTAGCATTCATTTCAGGCATTATTAATTTGTAGTCTTCAAAAAGAAACAATAAACGCCATTAATAAAAATAGCAACCCTTCTGGCCTAGTAAACAGAGCTCATATACATTGATAGCATTACATTGGCAACAACGCACTCCATATGCTCATGAAGGTTACAGGGCGTATTTCCATGTAAACAGTCAAGACAGTGAACTTCAAATATTTGGAAGAAATGTTTATTTAACAACAGAATACATGCTAAAAGAAATAATTTACAGCAGCAGTTTCATTACATTTTTTTCTCTCCAGTTTTCTAGTTCCCATCTGAATCGAAGTGATGAATACAGAAGTAGAATTATTTACTACCCAGTGAGGAATGCACTTAAAGAATAAGCGCATAACTTTGGCACTGATATAGCAAATAAACCACTTTATCACCTGTGTGGCAGAATCTTGCATTTTAGTATTATGCTGAACACACCAAAATGGAGTACCTCTAGATAACAGTACTTTACACTGTACCTCCTTATCTAGTCAAAAATATTTACATCTCTTTTGGCTAATGTGTAGGTAGCAAAAACTGAACTATTAAACACATACCATTGATATTCACTAAATAAGACATAAAAAGGATCAGTAAATGCGCATTCACATGCATTTAATTTAATTTAATTTTTTTACATAGTGACTTTATTGGGTCATGAAGATTTAACTCTGTTCTGCAAAGATGCACATTTTCTTAGTTTGATGTTGTAATTTTACATAACTGTACAGTTTTTAGGAGCCATTGAACAAGTTCCCATCTTCAGTGATCCATGCAAGTGCAAAGTGTAGATGAGTAAGAACAAGCTTCAACGCATTTTTGTTACTTGCAAATGGATATTGTAAACCAAATCAAAACAGATCTTTCTCATTATAAATGAAATACTTTATTTCTCTCCAGCTTAAACGCAACTTTTTACTTCCTTTTTCTAAAGTCTGTAACTAGAGGTTTAGAGGGTTTTATTGATGATTTACAGAAATACCATTTTTACCTTTATCTTCAAACCTTATGTTGTTTTAAACAAAAATGACATAAATGGAGGTATGAATTTTACCGAAGCTACAGGGCATCTTTCTATACATAAATTAATTGAGGCCTACGTTGTTAGAAAACAGTTCATTTCACATCAGTATTAAATGCTGTTTTAACTTGACCATAATATGAACCTGAAAATCAAAAATTTCCCTTGCTTGTTCTTCTGCCCTCTTATTTATATCAGCAAATACAAAGACATAAACAAGACTACTCATGTCAGTGGGGATTGTACTGAAGTTTGTAAGATCTGATCACATCAATTGTCCAACTAGACTGCCAGGTTATGGTAAAAACAATGCAACTTCTGCAATTTTGTTCCCACAGATTATCTTTCTCTGTATAGAAAAACATATCTTAGAATTCTGACTTAATTTAATCTGTTTCTTCTTCAGGCATGGTGAAAGAAGTTGATTTTGGTATGACTTTTTGCAGTAAGTTGCTATAGAACCAGTTGCTATGAGCATGGTAGAGAAAACAAGTTAGACAGCAATTCCATTAATATGTAAAAAAGGAAACAAAGTCATTTAGCGTCTGTTGAAATCAATTTGTACTTTTCCCACTGAATTCTCTCAAGTTCATTTTAAAACTGTTTCCTTTTGTAACAGAGAGGATTCTACTTACTTGATGGTACACTGTAGCCCTACACAAAAGGCTGAAGAGTGTTCTGTGATTACATTTAAACAACTCAGCTGACAACAATGCTCAGAAATTAATCATAAGCTGAGCTGAAAAATTAATACTTCTGTACAGGAAAGCACATCGCTGAATCTATGTTTTAATTCATCCCTATTCAGCACATCATGAAAGCATGGGAATCTAACAGCGTATTAAAGTTCACAGGAGTCAAGTTAAACATAAGAGAGACTTAAAGTTGTTTTAAAACTAAATTCCCAAGTGCTTCCCTAAATCATTGCCTTACAGCCTTGTCCTGGTCTATTCAATGAATTTTTTGCTAAAGAATTAAATGACAAAAAATCTTGCAAGTTCATCCCCTGCAAAAAATTCAAAGGGGACTAAAGTGACTGGACTGTTAGTGAAAATCCAATTTTATGGAGACAAGAAGTCAAAGCTTCACTAATCAGAAGGATACTTGAATTAGTGAGTGGCAAGGAGACTGGGACCTATTGTGAGAGAAGCTGTCACAGCAGTTGTGTTATATTGTATCTGATAAAGCTGATGATAGTGTAGTGATTGATAAATTAAATAATCTGGAGTGAATAACAACAAAACAGATCAGACATCAATATAGACACACTTTTATATAAAGGTTCCTTTAGCAAACTAAGGACTTTTTTCTAGTAATTTTCCCCACAATGACATTACTCGAAATTATGTCATTTACGGACTCTACCAAGATAAAATATGGGAGGCTGGAGAAAGATGATCTCAAAAGAACTGGACACCATAGAACTGGGGACCAAAGGCACATCTGTGCTGAGGTGAATAAATCCACTACTTATAACCCTAAACTGACACTTACGGTGCAAGTACATTGTCCGTTTTACCCTGTTGCTCTCCTGAATATAGAATAAGACAGAAGTGCAGGATCAAATTAACTGTTAGTATAAACTAGTCTTAAGCTGAACTTCACCAATTTACTACTGCAGCAGACTTCACCCATGGATAAAACTGTCCCTTAGATCTTAAAACAGAGTGCTGGCTTTGAGGTTACTATTTATGTAGCCTAGTGCTGGTTCTTTGCATTTGGGTAATCCGGCCCACAGAAAGAAAGGAGTACTGATAATCAGTAGCGTGGACATATTTCTACCACTGAGCTGGGAACAAAACTCCTTAAACTGAATGTAAGCATTGCTCATGGATACATGAGAGTCTATGAGCCACAGTATTTAAATAGTAGCATTCACAAATATTTACGAACCAAGAAAGCAAGACTGTAATTAGTAGAGGGTATTTTAATGCTATTTACTTTTTTTAATTAAAAAAAATATACAACTGAAAATCAATGTTCTCCTTTTCATTGGTTCAATCTATACCAAGGTATTATACAAGTTGAATCATTTAAAATACCATACTTAGAAAAAAAGAACGGAGAAGACTTCCATGGTATACAGTGACTTTCATGTCAAAATAGTTTAGTTTTAAAATTGTTTTGAAGTTACATGTCATATAGATTACTGAGAGGGGAGGAGGTTAACTGCAGTGTGACTAGCTCCCCTGGAAGATTTTCCAAACAAAAGAGTAAAGCAGCTCATAATTAGAAGTTGTCTCTTTTTCCTCTAAACCAATAATTAGAAAGTACAATATTACTAAGACAAAAAGTCTAATCTATTTTAGAAAAGAGCTAATGTTTGCTGCATATTTTTCATGGTATATTTAAATTATAGTTTTAATAAAATACATCTTTAGATCAAAGCTGAAAGAAGTCATCAGTAGTAGGCCAGTGTACTCCACATTTTTTGTTCTTCCAGATGATGGATGGCTTATGCTGTTCAGATTTCCACTGTCTCATTCAGTATTGTTTTTCCTGTTCTAGTACATATAAACAGGAGAACTGGTAGACAAAATAAGAACAAAATCCTTGTGTCCAATCACATGTTTAGACGTTCATCAGCTTAATGAGTTCATGCAGTTTTATATATAAGTCTAGAAATGGTAGTGCTGATGATGAAAGGTGGAGTTTGTTTCTCTTTTCTTTAAGATGACAGCATGAAATACAGCATTTTGTTTATATCTCAGGCAAAAGAGAAAGCAAAACTTGCCTGCTG